GAAGATATTCGTTATGAAGGTTCTGAATGGCCATCACATAAACTTGAAATGCCTTTGCGTCAAATGCCTGTTTTAGAATTTGAAGGAACAAAATTACCACAATCATTATCTATAGCTCGTTTTCTTGCTAAACAATTTGATTTGGCTGGTAGAGACAATTTTGAACAAGCCAAAGTCGATGCTGTTGCTGATACAATTAATGATTTATTAAGTAAATTTATCCCACCTCGTTTCGAAAAAGATAAAGCAAAAAAGCAAGAACTTATGAAAAAATTCTTTGATGAAAAAGTACCTAAACATTTACAAAATTTGGATGTTTTAGGTAAATTATATGGTAATGGTGGTCCATTCTTTGTTGGTAATCATTTAACATGGGCAGATTTATTATTCTACGATATATTAGAAACTCTTCTTGGAATAGATGAAAATTGTTTAAATAATTATTCATGGTTAACACAAAATCGTGCAGAAGTTGAAAAGCAACCAAAAATTGCAGAATATCTCAAAAATCGCCCCAAAACACCACATTAAAAAAACGACATTGATCAGTGAAAGAAATCAATGAGTATTTATAGATTATTCTTTCTGTTATTCTTTTAACATTTTTTGAATATATAAAACAAAGTTTCAACGAATCTTTTTCTCTATCATACTGTCTTTGATGTCAAGTCCCGTATATTTCCGAGATAGTATTAAATTGATGTGCTTATTACTTTTATCATTTCATCAGTTTATTTAATAACACCAACAACCACTGTATATCTGTTAAAATCTCTAAGAACTTGATAAGAGTCAGTAGACATAATTCTGCCGGAAAAATATTCTTCTTTCGTAAACCTTGGATAACTCGAGTATCCGACGTCGTACAAAGCTAAATTTCAGTTTCCAGAGTAGGACAAACATTTCTCTATCTAGATGACTTCGATTTCTCTTGATATGACATATTGAGTGATGTTTTTTCTTTAAAAAAAATCGAATTCATCTTGTTTTTCATGTCTTCAATACAAAAATATCAAGCGAAAAAAGGTCGTATTTTTGTTTCCTCTCATCCACACGCTTATTAGTTTTAGTTAGAAAAGAAACACAAACAGTTGAGACATATATCATGCATTTGAGAATATGGTGACTTAAAAAGATGTTGTTCAAGTTTTTCATCAGCTGCTTTAATGTTGAGTTAATAACCTTATTTAACAATCTTATACGTACGAAACTAGATATATATATATATATGTCCTTATAATTCGAGGAAGCGAAATTGAAGTACCACTAAACTGCGCAATAATTTATAGTTCAAGATCAAGAAGAAAAGAATAACAATAGACATGAAAGAAAGCGAACAAGAGTTATTAGATCAAAGAGAGAACTAAAATATAGACAGAAAACAAAAGAACAACACTAAGGAAAATATCTAAAAAGAAGACAAAGCTAATAACATATATATAGTTAACGTATATTTATATGGAAAGCAACAGAAAACGAACAACACGTAAAAATGATCTTATGGCACATTATACGTGCCATTGTAGTTTCTTAAATTAAATGATTGTTTATGGTTTCGGGTATCCAGATATTGGAACTTGTCGTATGACACGTTCATTCATCATTTTTGAAGTAAGTATAAATTCAGCGGCAGTAGCAGTCGTTGCACAAGGAATATTATACACTTCAGCTAATCGAGCAAGTGCTTGGATATCGACTTCGTGAGCATGAGCATTTAGTGGATCAATGAGAAAGATAAGAATGTCAAGTTCGCCCGTTGCAATCTTTGCTCCTAATTGTTGATCACCACCCAAGGGACCACTGTTGAACTTTGTTACCACTACATTGAATTCTTTCTCAATCAATGATCCTGTCGTACCTGTAGCATAGAGTTTGTGTTGAACAAGTACATCGCGATGTTTTCTAAGGCACTCGATAAGTTCTGACTTCTTTTCATTATGAGCAGCAAATCCAATTCGTTTGTGTACGCCCATAATTCTCACACTAGTCATGTTCTGAAAATTTTCACATTGTTAGAGACTTACTTTTTTTTCTATCAATGTAGTCAAGAATGTACCTTTTCTATGGTTGCTGCTTCATCCTTAATTGCTTTTCGTTCGATGCTTTGATAGTATTTGGCAAGATGCCGGTCATTTTCTCGATTTACGATACGGTCAATCAACACTGGATTTGATTTGCTAGTGCAAAGTAAATCTGAATCTAAACAGATGCTTGAATGAAATATAAGAAAAAATCTCGAGAGACATACTCTTTGGGTCGAAATAGTCAGCGAACGCTTGCTGAAACAAAAGAAAAAGGTTATATTTCTTGATGAGTATAATCATTATTGTTCACTTGTATGTTGCTTATGTTTCATAGAAAATTGGAATCATGGAATAGACCCTGATAGAACACGGTACATAAGGAATGGTCGAGTCATTTCGAATAAAGAACAAGTGAAAGGAGGAAATGCCATCACGAACGGTTCTACCGTTGTTACAGTGATGTCGCCTGTATACATATTCACTATTATGTGTTATCCTCTATTCTCTTTCATCTTCTTTTGATCTTGAATTGGTCTTCTCTTTTCTTCTCGTTCTCTCTATGTACATATTAACATATAAGGAAAGTACATTCTTTTTGAATAAAGTTTATGTACAAGTGTGCATATAACATCTATATCTATATATATATACGAAGGGAAAGACAAACCTTAACAACCGTTCATATCAAATAAATGACGAAACCAATCGTTGCAGCAATCAACTCAGCTTAAGGACATCTGATGCATCCTTTGACTGAGCTTCTCAAGAATATTTCACCAACAATGTCTGCAGTGTTCTCCTTAGAAAGATCATGGACAGTAGAGTGAAAATTGGTTTAGGGCTCGAATTTGCCCCACACTAGCTTCTGTGAGATCTACGGAAATCTAAGACCCAAATATAAATTCGCTTGCTGCTCTCATTTCTCGAGCCTACTACTACAGATCTAGCAGAGTCATGGCTTTACGGCGGCTAGACATTGATTCAAAAGTGTTCTGTTTTAGTTTCTTTGAACTTCGATTTCGTCAAACAAAAAGGCCAAAGTACAGCACATACAGTTCAACAACTTATTTTCATGAGAACTAACGTCTATTCACCTTCAATACAGTATCATTTTCTTAATAGAAGGAGTGTCTAGTACTTGTACAAAAATAGCTTCATGACAATTACCAGACGACTGGAGTACGTATTTAATTAATGAGTCATGTTCAAATTTTCCTCTAAGTTTTTTCTATGAAGTGTTTTCGTAAAACTACTAATTCATTATCAAAATCTTTGGTTCGTATAACATAATATTTGATGGAGGATATTAAGAGACTGATAACAATTGAGAAACCGATGTCGAAAAGTTGATATGTTATTACCGAGGACAGAGTTCCTAACATTGAAGAGCGAATCAGGGAATGACGCATCAGGCTTGTCGAAGTGGCGTTCAGTTATCGATGTGGGTGTGAGTGTCTCTTCTCTCACATCAATACGCAAACCCACATCCACACCCTGAAACTCTTTGACCAGAATCCCAAAAAAGCGGTGCGACAACATCTGGTAGAGTAGATTTTTGTTCTTGAGTCATCCTGTATTGCGAAGTAGCAAGTTCAATGTGAAAAACTTTCCAAAAGTGTATTGAAAGTCGTCTCCTTTACCGAAAATTTTCTTTCTGGTTAGCATTTTGAGATGTAAACCTCTTTCTCAGTGAAACACAAATATTGAATAAAATAGTTTCGATTTATTTTCTTTTGTCAATTCATCGGTATCTGTCTAATGTTATGATGAAAAATATTTCGACACATTTCATCATCTAACTCGTTGAGATATTTGGTCAACACATATCAATAAACTAAAGTTTACAACAGAAAACTGCTAAGTCAATGAATTACTCACCTGTAAATTCCATTCATTTCGATTTAGAAATTTATTTGAATCGTCAACATTGCAAAGTGTTAGAAACTAGTACAAATTAGACGATATAATGCAAATAAGGTCGACACGAGATTGGAACTTTACCTGAAAGAGCAGAAGAGTTGCTTCGTGTGATGGCAACATTGATCTATTGTTTTATAATTGGTCAACAAATAGAATGAACTAGAAAAAATAAATAAATAAAGTGTGGGGCTTAATGAATGGTCGCTTTTCACATTACATGTTTTCGTCAATTAATACGTTTTATTAAAAAAACAGAATACACTACGAGATGTGGCGTGAAAAGCCTACAATCTAGAAAGCAAAGCTGATTTTAATTGTGTACTTTTTGTTTCTAAAAAAAGCGAAATGCTGTGGGACCGCTTTTTGCACGGTTAAAATTTGGTCGCTCAAAATTTTGACTACTTTGAAAGCAAAAGGCACAATTATAAAAAAACAGTCTTATGTTAATTGCAGAGATTTTCACGCCGCATCTTATGGTATATTTTGTTTTTTTTAATAAAACAGATTAATTGATGGAAACATGTAATGCGAATAGCGGCCATTAATTATGTCCCATCCGTTAAAATGAAGATATTTTTTCATATGTGACAACATCAATCAAAAAAACATTAGAAGCGACATTTCGTTATAGAGCGCCAAACAAAATAAGCATTTAAAAATCTACTATCAATTACAACAAGTAAATTTTCAATGACAAGGCATATATACACCTGTGCAGTAGAAAAACTTGAAAACTTGGTCAATCTCCTAATTCTGAACAAACTTCGACATATTCGAAAATTTTTTTCATTATTTTTAAAGATACGGTACTAACATGAAAGAAAAAAAGAATGATGAATTGATCGGGCGTTATTCAATGGTCAACTGGTACGATAATGATTTTATTACTCTAGTGAAAGTATTTGGTCAGCAAGTACTAATGATATATTCGCTCGATTGAATTAAATCGTAGTGATCAAATACAAGTATAATTCATGAAAATTTAAAAAATTAAGATATTACATGATGCTTGTATCTATGCATTGGATGCCATCACAGGCTTTCCACACAAAAAATAAAGAAAATCTGAGAACACTACAATTACAGATAGATGATAAACAATTTATTCATGTGAACAAAATATTTGAAAATAAAAATATGTTGAATTAACATTGTATTCTACGTATCGAAAATTTAGAAAACGAAGTGGAAGAAATTATTAGATTTTTGTTTATCGTATTCCCTTGATAGGTAGTTTCACTAGCGCAAGATAACAATAAAATCAGTGGCACAAAACAAAGAAGATGCAAATGAAATAGACATTGCTAGTTAGAGTGCTCTATTTACTTACAGCCTGAAAAATATCTATAGTTCTATGAAGTTTTTACAAAAAGTTTCGATTGCTCTCATTTCCAACCATATAATGTTGATCTTTAACTATGATGATACAAATTGCGACCAAAAAATTAATCATAATACGAGAGAAAAGGTCGATTCGGTCTCGCTTAATAGAGTCTGTACCTTACAAGCTACAAACAACAAATAAAAGAAACATGCTTCTCTTAGAGAAATATTCCAATCAGTAGGTTTTTGTGTTGGATGTCATAATTTTGTCTTCCTCGAGTTCTTTCAATTTAGTTGAAAACTAATTGAATTCTTCATAAAGAACACTTTTCGAAAAAATGGTGTCTCTCGAAATCAAAGTGGCAACCTAACATATTAATGAAGAATGAATGAAAAAAAGGCCGAAAAGAAAAATATCAATAATAATGATGGCAAGCGATCGTTATGCTCCGACCTTTTAAAAATTCTTCATTGCCTTGGCTCATACTAGTGCTGATATTCACCTATCTAATTACGAGACCTATATCTATGCCTATATGTGCAAAGAGTGAAATGTCTTAGATTTAATGAGTACTAACTTCATTTCCATTGATATCTTTACATTCCTACTTTCTCAATTTTTTTCTAAATTAGAGAGTATTATCGAATAAATTAAAAATATATGTACTTGTGGAAGTTAAAATTTATATCGTAATTTACAGGAACTTGGTTTATCATTGCTAATATTAACAATGAAAGTATTTATATCATGTGCAGGAAGCTTATGGATATTTCATGACTTTATTTGATTATTATGAAGATCAATGGATTAAGGAATTCGATCTTACTAAATGAAATATTTATGGAATAGGGATTAACACGAACAACGATGCAGGCGTACAGTATGAGTTCATATTCCAGCCCCCATCATGATTCATGTATATTTTTAGGATTTCATGATTGTGTGAATTTACGTACTGCAGAATATCATTCGAATGAATGGGCTTTCATTCGATGTGTACAAGGAGAAGAAAACAAGTTTAACTATATTCTGATTCAAATGATATGTGACCTAGAAGTTAAATCGAAGACCGCGACAAAAAAAAAACGTCATACAACCACGTATTGATACTCTAAATTTACGCTCTCAACATGAGCACACTACCGTTGATAAACTCGTAAAGAAATTCGTACTATCTAGTCGCGAAAAAAAATTACATCGAAAAGAAAAACATAACTCATTACTTTCGCCTGTAACTTAGATATTTCGTCATTTTTTTATCTTTCTTTCTATCTCTTTTCACCATACCTTGGTAAATAGGTTGTGTGTTTATGTACATTGCAGAAACCTAGAACATAGTAGCAAACTAGAAGAAAATGAATTTTTTTTAAAACTATCTATTTAAATCTAATATACATAATGAAATAAGGAAACGAAAAAAAAGGAAAGAAACTAACTACAAGATCTGACTAGTTTCAAAAATATCTTCTGTGATGTGCAGCTGTATTCAAACTCGCTTGATAACATTCTCATTGGCAGTATAGCTAATAACAACACACAATGAGAAAAGATTGTTTACGACAAATGTAACTTTCAAATGTTGACAAATGTCATTAGATACCGTCCTCTACTCATCAGTAACAGTAAATAAGACTATACACAGTAGTTAAACATAAGCATTTTACCTGTATTGAAATCAGAACGGTTAAATTGATGTGTTTCGTTTCGAATGAAGATATATTTA